AGGATAATAATAATGGTAATAATAATAATAGTAGAAATAATCGTCCTATTTCATTTATAAATGTCAATGAAAAATTCTAAATAAGATATTAGCTCTTCAAATCTAACAATATATTAGAATATATTTTATGATCATATAGAATTTATCCCAGGAATGTAAGGAAGGTTCAATATTAGAAAATCTGGCTAATTCACTATAATAATAAATAGTAAAAATTACATAGTTGTCTCAATAGATACAGGAAAAGCATTTGATAATATTCAACATCTATTTCTGATTTTAAAAATTTCTTAATTTTAATCTAAAATTAGGAACAGTAGGAGAGTATTTCTTTAACTTGTGAAAAGCTATATATCCCAAATCTAATCAAATTTACAACCTAATAGAAAAACTTTAAATTCATTCTCTTTAAGATCAGTAACAAGACAAAAGTGCTCACTACTCTTTAATGTAATAGTGGAGTTCCTGGACAACACTTTGGAATAAAAAGAATTGAGAAATGTAAGCATCAGAAACAAAGATAAAAAATTGCCATTATTTGTAGGTGATATTATCATAAAGAAAAATCAATAAAAAGCTATTAGAACGAGTTCAGCAAGATTGTTAGATACAAGATAACTTAGGAAAACCATTTCTCTCTGTCAGCAATAACCAACTAGAATATATTATCAAAAAATATTACTCATAATAGCAAAATACTGCAAATTAAAGTCAAATATATGAAACAAAAATATGCAAGATTTATTTGGAGAAGATTTAAAAATCTAACAAATTATATAGAAGAGTATCTGAATAATTGAGAGATGTTGCATTCTTTTCAATGGGATGACAATATTATCAAGTGGTTAAATTTATCCCAGATTAATTTATAAATTCAATTTTATACAACAAAATTCTAGTTGTATTTTTTTTTTTAAAGAAAATCATTAGAAATTATTTTCAAGGTCTACGGATAGCTAAGTCTACGTTGAAAAGGAGGAGTGAGTAGACTATTTAATTAAATCAATTTTTTAACAGGCACTATTAGCTTTAGGGCTTCAGAATATTATTTTTTTCCAAAATATTTTTCCAAAATAGCATCTGAAGTGTTTTAGTATTTGTATCTTTTGAATATTTTGGAAATTCAATGGGTGAATAAAATAAATTTGTTATCCAAATTTTAATTTATCAAATATTTCATTGATTTGTTTTGAAACATCCTTAAGAATAAAGATAACCTAAATTTTTAAGAATTAATTCTCTAAAGTCATAAGGCCTTTTTGTATTTTATGTAAATAGATTCACTGCTTCTTAGATATTTATTTTCTGTCCAGCAAATAGGTAAATTTTGATTAAAGCTGAGGAGTCTCAAATCTACAAGATAAACGTTGTTTTGTTTGGGGAAAAACAAACAAAAAAGAAACTGAAAATTTAAATCACCAATTAGACAATATATTAAAGTGTATTTCAGTTTGGATTTGCCTACCCCAATAATTCTCCTCTTCATTAGCCTAAACATCTTATTTGCATGTAAAAATTGTCAAGAGAATCAACAGCAGCAAACCAACTACTCTAGAAGTTTACCATAACACATTCACTTTACTTTTTAAAAAAAACTTTATTTGAAATAATAATAGGCTTTACAGAGAAAGTTGAAAACAGGACAGAGAGTTTACGTATATCTTTCACCTAGCTTCCTCTAACATTAAAACCCCATATACCATAGTATAATAATCAAATCTAGGAAATTAGCATTGGTAAAGTACTAATAATTAAGCTACTGACTTTACTTGAATTTCACCAGTTTTTCCTCCTAATGTCCTTTCTCTGTTCCAGGATCCAATCCAGGACCCCACATTATATTTAGTTGTTGTATCTCTGTAGGCTCCTCCAAATGTGATAGTTCCTCAGTTTGTCCTTTTCTTTTATGACCTTGACTCTTTTGATGAGTATTGGTTAGTTGTTGCATACAATGTCTCTCAAATTAGGTTTGTCTGATATTTTCTCTTAATTACATTAAGGTTATAAATTTTTGGCCAAAACACCACAGAAGTAACGTGTCCTTATCAGTGCATCATATCAGGGGTACATGAGTTGATGTGTCCTGTTACTACTGACATTAACCTTGATGGCTTGGTTAAGGTGGTGTCTGTTGAGTTTCCTCATTGTAAAATTATTATATTTCCTTCCATAATTGACAAATATCATAAGAGATACTTTGAGACTATGTTAATATACTATATCTCCCCAAATTTTGCCTGCTGATTTTAGCATCTTTTAGTGGATCTTGCCTGCAATGATTATTACTGTGGTATTTGCTTAATGGTAAATTTGCATTTCCCTCATTCCTTCCACATTTATTAATTGGAATTCTTCTATAAAGAAGAGCTGTTATTTCTCTCTCATTTATTTATTTGATTATTTGTACCTGTATGGTTTTTAAAAATTCGTATGTATTTTCATTCCAAATTTGTTAAATACAACATTCTTATAAATTGATTCATTTCAAGTGTATTCATATACAAAAGGCTGTATTCTCCTCTCCTTATCAGTGAGTTTTATACTTTTATGTGTTTTCCTGTTATTAATTAGTATCCGTTTGTTTCAGCTTGAAGAACTCCCTTTAACATTTCTTGTAGGGCCAGTCCGGTGGTGATAAACTCCTTCAGCTTTTGTTTGTCTGGAAAGCTTTCTATCTCTCCTTCAATTCTGAGGGACAACTTTGCCAGGTAGAATATTCTTGGTCAGTAGTTTTTTTCTTTCAGCACTTTGAATATATCATCCCATTCCATTCTGACCAGCAAGGCTTCTGCTGAAAAATCTGCTGATAGTCTCATTGGGATTCCCTTGTATGTAACAAGTTGTGTTTCTTTTCCTGCTTGTAACATTCTCTCCTTGCTTTAACTTTTTTTTTTTTTATTAATGTTATGATAGATTACAACTTTGTGAGATTTCAGTTGTACATTTTTGTTAGTCATGTTGTGGGTACACCACTTCCCCCTTTGTGCCCTCCCCCCACCCCCCCCTTTTCCCTGGTAACCACCGATCAGATCTCCTTATCAATATACTAACTTCCACCTATGAGTGGAGTCATATAGAGTTCGTCTTTCTCTGACTGGCTTATTTCGCTTAACATAATACCCTTGAGGTCCATCCACGTTGCTGCGAATGGGCCAATTTTGTCTTTTTTATGGCTGAGTAGTATTCCATTTCTCCTTGCTTTAACTTTTGACAGTTTAATTATAATATGTCTCAGCGTGGGTTTCTTTGGGTTAATCTTTTAGCAACATACTTTTTTTAAAAGATTTTATTTTTCCTTTTTCTCCCCAAAGCCCCCCGGTACATAGTTGTATATTTTTAGTTGTGGGTCCTTCTAGTTGTGGCATGTGGGATGCCACCTCAACATGGCCTGATGAGCCGTGCCATGTCCGGGCCCAGGATTCGAACCGGCGAAACCCTGGACCCCCGAAGTGGAGTGCACAAACTTAACCACTCGGCCATGGGGCCGGCCCCTCTGTCGGTTAATCTTATTTGATATTCTCTGGACTTCCTGGATCTGGATGTCTGATTCTTTCCCCAGGTTAGGAAAATTTTATGCTATTATTTCTTTGAATAAGCTTTCTGCCCCTTTCTCCCTCTCTTTTTCTGGGACCTCTATAATGCATATATATTGGTCCATTTGAAGGTGCCATTGTTATCATGAATATTTGCTTCATTCTATGGTTTATGACACTCCATTTTAATTTTTTCTGTGTGAAGAAGATTGGCCCTGAGCTAACATCTGTTGCCAATCTTCCTATTTTTGCTTGAGAAAGATGATCACTGAGCTAACATCTGTGCCAGTCTTCCTCTATTTTTTGTGTGAGATGCCACCATAGTGTGGCTTGATGAGCAGTGCTAGGTCTGTGCCTGGGATCCAAACATGTGAACCCTGGGTGGCTGAAGCAGAGCACACGAACTTAACCACTATGCCACCAGGCCAGCCCCTCCATTTTAATTTTTAAAGTATAAATAAAAGATTATAATTTTAAAAAATGACTACAAGTGCCAAATAAGAAACACATTTCTTCTGAGAGATTAAACTCAAGATACTGGTTAGAGAGTGCCATAATTAATAACTAAAGGCACAATGGCAGAATTACTCATTTACCAGCCTGTACAGGAGTTGTTGGCACCATGTTTGGGACCAATGAAGTAAAAGAAAGAGAGGAAGGTGCCATTTTGCAATAGTGCTATTTGTAGACACAATGCTGTGATGTCAGATGTTATAGAAATTCACAATCCCAAAGACTAAATAAAAAGTGTTCACTGTAAATTTATGAATCAACAGATATTAGTATTGTACTCAGTTAATAACACTGATTAGATTATTGATGAGAAACACTGGAAAGTACATTATTTGTTCTGCAAAAGAGTACGAAATTAAATTCCTAGGTACTGAATATACAAAGTGGTAAGTTAACACTTTGAAACTAATAGGATATGAAGCTCTCTGGAAGTTTGTGTAACAGTGGTGTGGCTGCAGTGACAGAAAAGGGTAACATTATATTTGTCAATAAAAGAAAAGAAAAAGATGAAGATTTAAAGAATGATTGCACCCTTGAAGTATAAATTAAATATATCGAAACATCCAGAGTAGTTGTAAGAAAATTTCTGCCAAGCAAGAAAAAAGGAATAAATACTCTTTTCCATTTGTTAACACCTACTTGTGTGATCACAGTTTCTTATTGATGGCAGCAGTCAAGATTTGAAGATATAGATTATTGTTAAAGAAAGGCTTGATCAGGAATTATCTGTAGCCATTTTGAGCTTTAAATCTGTTTTGAAATAAGTATGCTCACAGAAGCAAGCTCAAGCTTCTCACTAAAAATTCAAAAAATTTTATTTGGAAAATTTATTCAAATTCAATATTTAGTGATTCCCATAATATTTTGTATTTTAGTTTCATACTATTGTATAATATAAACAAGTAGTATAGTGCAATTTTCCACAAAACTTACGTAGATGTCTCTGAATCCTCTCCAGTTTACCTCTGTGTTGAAACAATGAAAGAAGTTAGGTTTCATTGACCTTCAGATCTGGAAACTCAGCGCTCTGCACGAATTTGTGAGTACACTGGACAGCAGCTTGGAGTAGTAGAAAGAACAGAGGCAATGATGTTAACCACTGTAGATTCCAGCCCCCTCCCAGTTTTTTAGTGGTGGAGAGAGCCCCAGTAAGGGCTGAGATTTACCTCCCTTACCATAGATCAGTCGCTGTGGGGGACTCAGTGAACAGATTTAGTTTGATTTAGGTTAGTAAATGAATATGACATTTCTTATACCTGAACGTAAAATGCAGTGGCATTACAATTATTCAAATTATCATGGTGGCATGGGATAAAGGTGGATAGCAAGCATCAGGAAATCAAATGTCTGGTGACAACAGCAATTTCACAGGTGATGGAGCCAGCTGGTTTCTTCAGAAGATTTTAAAGAGCATGCATGGAGAAAAGAAGAAATTGAAAACCGTGAATGTCCCACTGAGAAGAACAAAGTGGACAATCAGTAAGATTTAATGGCAGAAAGAGTCCCTCATTTCCTGCAGGGCAGAAATAACTGAAAACTAAATCCAGTGCCTGCTGGTAAGTGCTGCAGTTTTGCAGAACCAGTTAATTACTTAACCTGCCAAGAGGTCTCTTATGCTGAGGTCTGGAATTGTGCTCTGAGACATGAGTGGGGACACTTGAACAGACACATACCTGTTGAGAACTTCTAACCTTCATCAGCCCCCGAACCTCTGTTGATAGCTGAGGTACATAGTCCCCTCTGCTCCCACCAAATATGAAGGAAGCATTTCAGTGGTTGCACCTGAGCCCTTTGCCTCACAGGCCAGAGCTCCTCAGGACTTCCATAGAGCACTGATAAGGAAGTACAAGGCCTACTCTGAAAAGAAATGGCCTAAACTCCAAAAGACTTAAAGGATCTTGCCATCGGAGTTAGTACAAGCATGAATAGTATTCATGGGAGTAAATACTAAGTGTGTTGATCAAGATTGGGCTGAATTTGTTGATAGAGACAGATTTACTAGGATTATGGAAGTAATGCATTGACTTGAGTACTTGGGGAGATGTTAATCATCTGCTAGGTTGACTAACTGAAGCCTAGATTTAGTAGTAAACTACGGTTAGTGAAGCTGAAATACTGTAATTTCCCTGGAATAATGTAGGGTGGTGATTTTCAAACTTGGCACTTTGAACAATACTGATGCCTGGATCCCACCCATAGAGATTCTGATTTAACTGGTTCGTTAAACCGGTTTAACTGATTTAACTGTGCGTGTGGTTGTATGGACAGGGGTTTTTAAAAAGTCTCCTCAGGTTATTTTCATATGTGGCCAAGGTTGAGTTGTTGCTGTACAGGAGGCTCAGGGACATGGTGAGAATCTTGGGATACGTCTATTATGTGCAACCTACTCAGCTGCCCATTGATCATACACCTCAGGATGACCCAAGAGACCGATAGCAAATATGTTGGTGGGGGGCCCACCAGTTTCCCGGGGAACTCAACTAAAGACAGTTGCTGTCTTTAGGCTGGAGACGACAGTGAGGGTGCTGCAGTGGAATTGGGTTCCCAGCTCTGAAAGGGAATTAATGAGATCTCAGAGCAGAAGAGGCCAGATGATGGTGCCTATCATCAGAGACAAGGTGGGTGCAATTACCATAATAATCCACAGGGACAGGATGTTAGCCAGAGTATTTTGAGGATCAGAACTCTGTAGCAATGACTAATTCAGTGTAGGATTTCTAGAATGAAATAGTTGGAGAAGCATCTAAGGTGCTATTTAACACATAGGGGAAGAAAATTTCTAGGTCTAGTAGTCAGAAAACCTAACCTGAACTGCTGTAGTGAAGATTCGTGGCTTCCTACCCACTTTCCAGATCTAAAGATCACAGACCTGAAGCCCTTAGACTGAGGTGAAGGCCAGGTCCCTCTGAGGAAGAACTTTGCATGGTGGTGTATGCAATTATGGGGTGAATTGCCATGCCCCACTCCCCAAATTTGCATGCTGAATCCTTAACTCCCAATGTAACTGTATTTGGAGACAGGGCCTTTAAAGAGGTAATTGAGGCTAAAGGATGGGGCCCTAACATAATATGATTGCTGTCCTTATAAGAAGAGGAAGAGATATCAAGGAAGTGTATTCACAAAAGAAAGGCCAGTTGAGGACATAGCAAGAAGGAGAGATGCCTCAGGAGAAACCAAACCTGCTAGCACCTTGATCTTGGACTTCCAGCCTCCAGAACTGTGAGAAACAAACTTCTGTTCTTTAAACCACCCAGTCTGTGGTATTTTGTTATGGCAGCCCAAGCAGACTATACTTGGTGACAGGACTCTTCCCCCAAGCCTTCCCCAGAGATACTTGTGGCCATTTACCAGAGGACTGTGCATTGGGAGAGAGAAAGAGCCAGACCTTCTGGGGGGTTCAATACTGGCTCCATACTGATGCTAATTCCCAGAGATGCAAAATGCCACTGTGGTCCATCAATCAGGTAGAAGATTATAAAGGTCAGGAGACAGAAGGACTCTGGATCTGAGTCTGTCTGGAGACCCAGCCTGAGACTATTTCCCCAGGCTTAAAATTTATCTAATTTAAATAGATAAATTTAGTGATTGGCAGGGCGCCAATATTGGGTTCCTTCTGATAAAGTGAGGGCTACTATTGAAAGAGTACAGAGGAGAAGCCCATAGATTTCTTCCTCATCCCCTGCCAAGATAATAAACCAAATTCCTAAAGCAATACTACATCCCTGGGGAAATTACTAGAATTCACGTCATTATCAAAGACTTGAAAGATGCTAGGGTATTAATTTCACATCCCCACTTAATTTGCCTTTTTGGCTGATGCAAAGGCTCCATGGGTTGCAGAGAATGCAAGTAGATCATCACAAACTTAACTAGCTTGTAAAGCCAATTCCAGCTGCAGTTCTGCATGTGGTGTCTTGACTGGGGCAAATAAACACAGCCCCTGGGAGCTAGAATACAGCTATTAGCCTAGAAAATGTTCTTTAAACACTATATATATGATCAAAGACGACCAGAAGCAATTTGCCTTCACATGAAGTCTTCATGTCCATGTCAACTCTCCAATTTCCTGTCGTAATAAGTCCTTGGGACCTGGTGCTGGTCCATGATGTTGATGAAATTAACGTATGTAACTGAATCTGGTAAGCAAGAAATAGCAAACACACTAGATGCCTTAGAAAGATAAATGCATGCTAGAGAAATGCATTCAGGAGTCTGCTCTGTTTGTGGGATTTCCAGGGATCCAGTAGTCTAGGACATCTCAAAATATCCCCTAAAAAGTGATGGACAAATTCTTATACCTCATATTTCCCAGCATGAAAAAAGAGGCAAAATGCTTGGGAGGCTTCTTTGGATTTTACAGTTAACACATTTCTCGTTTGGGCAGGCTGTTTTGGTCCATATACCTAGTATCCCACAAAGCTGCTAGTTTTGGTGGGTCCTAGAGCCAGAAAAGTTTATGCAGAGGATCCAGGCTGGGACATAAGTTTATTTGTCCCTTAAGTCTTATGATTTAACAGACTCAACAGTTTTAGAAATGTTTGTGGCAGATAGAAGTGCTGCATGGAGTTCTTGCAAGCCCCAGTTGAAGAATCACAGGGTATATCTCTAGGGTTTTGAAGTAAGGCCATGTCCTCTTCTGCCTTGCTGAAAATCAGCTCCTAGATTGCTATTGGTCCATTACAGAGACTGAACTCCTAACCCTGAAACACGAAATGACTATTTAAATTAAACTGCCCACCATGAGCTTGGAATGACCTGATCTACCAAATCATAATGGACATGCACAGGAACATTCTATTAAAAAAATATTGGTATATGGGAGACCAAACCCAAGCACACCTGAAAGGTAAAAGTAAACTTCGTAAGCAAGTAACACAGACTCCTATAATATCTGCTCCAACAGCTTTTCCACCCATTTCTTAGTCCGTATTTATAGATAGTCTCATAGGGAGGTCTAGAGCAGAGGAGAAAAAGCATAGGCCTGATTTATGCATCAATCTGCATGGTATGCTGGCCCCAGCCGGAAATAGATGGCTACTGCCATTTCACTGTAGCCCACTCAAGTGGCCCTGAAAAACAATAGTGAAGGGAAATCCTCCCATTGGGCAGAATTTGAGGCACCATATTTGTTTGTTCGTTTCACGTTAGAGGAGATCTGAGATATAGATCCACACTAATTTGTGGGCACTGGCTAATGGGTTGGCTATCTGTGCAGGGATTTAGAAAGACAAAGATTTAAAAATTGGCTACAAGAAGGTGTAGAGTATGGCATGTGGATGAACCTCTCAGAGGGCACAGATGTGAAGTGTGAAGATATTTGTGTTCCAAACAAATGCTTACCAAAGAGAAGCTACTGCAGAGGAGGCTCTAAAAAATTAGAGGTCGAGATAACCCAACCTGTGGATGTCAGTCTTCCCAAGTCACTTGCCTGCTCAGTGGGTCCATGTCCAAAGTGACCATGGTGGCAGATATGGAGGTTATGCATGAATTCAGCTGCTTGACTTCCCCTCAACAAATTCAATTTGATTATTGCCACTGATGAGTGCCCGAACCACCACCAGCAGAGATCAGCAGAAAACCCTTGATATGGCACCATTCCCTGACAAAATCAGCCAGCTATCTGGTGGCAGACTGATTATATTGGACTATTCCATCATGAAGAGGTCAATGCTTTCTTCCTGTAGGGATTGATATACGTTCTGTGTACTGACTTGCCTTCTCAACTCATGGTATTTCTGTCAGTAACACCATTGTGGACTTACGGCATGACTTTATCTAAGGTGTCCCACATAGCATCCCTTCTGACCAAGGGAGACATTTTTCAGTAAAGGAACTGTGGCAACAAGCTCAACTCACGTAATTCATTGGCTTTACCACGTGCAGCTGTCTTGACAGCACAGTGGAATGGTCTGTTGAAGACTCACATGTAGTGCCAGCTGGAACATAACAGTCCGAGAGGGTGCTGTCTTACGGGAAGCAGTATATTCCTTAAACCACTGGCTGATATATGTTGCTATCTTCCTCATGACTGGAATGCACAGGTTCAAGAACCAAAGGGTTTTGAAGTCGGGCAGGGGTAGGGGGGAGTACCTCCTCTTACTCTTAAACCAAATAACCTACCGTAGGAATTTTTTCTTCTTGTTCTGTGCCCTTAGCCTCCGTAGATTGAAGGTTCTTGTGCCCAGGAATGACATGCTTTCTCCAGGGAATACAGTGAAGGATCTGAGAGACTGGAAGCTGAGATTGCCCCCTGGCCATTTTGGCCCCTCCTGTCGCTGAATAAGCAGAAAGGAGTCACCTTACTGGTTGGGGTGATTGATCCTGATTACTCAGGAAATCAGGGAAAACTGGGAAGCTGCTACTCAATAGGGGTAAACAGGACTATGTCTGGAACCCAAGGGATTCCCTCAAGCATGTCTTATTACTCCCTTGTCCAGTAGTTTTTGTCAACAGAAAACTGCAGCACCAATAAAGAAGAGTACCAAAGACTCAGGTTCCACAGAAAAGAAGGCTTGATTCACCCTCAAGGTGAAGAAGAGCATACAGCTGAGGTACTGGTAGAGGGTAAGGGGAACATGGAATGGGTGGAAGAAGGCAGCTAGGATTACCAAACTAGACCTTGTGAGTAGCTATAGAATCAAGGAGTGTATCAGTTGACTGCTTAACTGTTTCCCGCCACTCCTGCCTTTTCCTCTAACCACCTTATATGAATAATACTGGGAATGGCTTTAAAAAAGTTTCAGTTGAGAGTATGACCACATTGACCTAAATTACAATGACTCAGAAGCTGATGTCTTTTTATATTTCGATTGAGATAGGGAACACAGATCTCTCACTCATGGAGGAAGAACATGGACGTGAGGGGCAAAAGGCTTGGACTGTGCTGGATGACTTCCACTGACCCTTCAACATCCACTGGAAGGAAATTGGCAGATGGGAAGAGAGTGAGGTCAGGCTATTTATAGGCTGACTGCTTTTCTTGACAAAGGTCACAGCTCCTGCTAAATATCTCTCTCCACAAATCTCTCTCTCTCTGAGTTCTGGTAACCACTTTCTTCTCTTGTCTCTTCAGGCTTATGGGTGGTAAGGGCTGTATCCTACTGAAACTAGCTTTGGGATTTCCGTGTACTCTGCCCACATCTTTGTAAATAACTCCTTTATTACATTTATCTCAAATTGCCAGATTTGAATGTGTCATATGTTTCTTGTTAGGACTTGATTGACACAGCGTGGCTCCCATGTTGGCCCAAATAGACTTGAAAGACTTTGGTGTGAGAAAGACATTCTCTTTACCATAAGATATAAATGATGGAGCATGCAGTTCTGATCATCATAGACACTTATCTTACAGACTAGAAGGAACTTGCCCTTAAGTTATGAATGTTGGTTCAGAAAGAATTAAAAATGCTGATTCTTGCTGACATCAAAGAATTTTCAGAACAGCAACCCTGATCCTATACTACTTCTGGACTTCCAATTGTGTGATCTAGAGTCGACATTTTTATTGGTTTAGCCACTTTGAATCAGGTTTTTCCTGCTTTTGAAGCTGCAAGTAACTTAACTGCTAGATTCTTTGAAGTAGAATTGAGGGCTCAAAGGGCATGAACATTTGGATTTTTAATAGCTCCTGTGAAATTCCTTTCTAAAAAGGCTGTGCTGACTCATACACCGCTCGTACAGTGAGTGAGTCTATTTCCTTACACCATTGCCTATTATCATCTTTTTAATTTGTACCTTTCTGATGGGTGGAAACGGAATCTCGTTATTGCTTTGATTTGCATTTGCTAATTACTAGTATGGTTCAGTATAATTACTTCTATTTATTGGATATTTATATTTTTTCTCAGTGAAATGTTTTTTGCATTTATTGCTCACGTAGAATTATCTGTATTTTTCTTATTGATTAGCAGGAGCTATTTAACAAGTTTGAGTATTAACTATTAGCCTATTAGCTTGTTAGATGGGTTGCAAATATTTTCTCCCAGGTACCTTATCCTTTAACTTTCTTCCATGGTGTGTTTTGTCCAAAATTCTAAAATTTTGATGATGTTCAATTTATCATCTTTTCCTTCATGGCTTTTGCCTTTTCTGTAATGTGGATCATTGGGCAAAGGCTAGAAGTTCTCTGTCATTTGGCTCTTTGTCCAGGAATTTCAAACTTTAGGCATTTAACCTACAACTTTTCCTTAAATACCATGAGCTGTCCAATTAAGGCTTAAGCTGTTTATTTTTAATTTTTCAGTTGCACGTAAGTGTACAATTTAGTCCATAGTTGTTTTAAATTTAGAGAAACGTACATTTCTTGGAGCTATACAGATAGGTTCTTTTGTCTTAGTGCTTTTAATTCTGCTATTTATTTCTGCCATTTTGGTGAGTAGTTTGGGGTTATTTTTGTTGATTTGTCCTTCATTTTCACATGAGGGAGAGTAAACTGTTAAATAGCATGTTGGCCCAGATCCTAAAGTCTGGAGTTTCGTGAAGAAAGCAGTTTCAAGGAGACATGATCAGGCAACCCACAGGGAAGAACGTCTTGGACAGTGGGCTTGGGCTGTTTGGAGAGCAGAGGTTCAGGCATGTTCAACTACATCATCCCACCCACGCTGAGTAAAGGCTGACCTGCAGAGGCTGCCCTGGGAATTTCCTGGGCATTTCCCCAGATCTACTAGAGTATAAATAGCCCCACACAATCCTCCGTGGTTCATGGTCCACATCATGTTGCTCCATCAGTTCAACTGAGGTAAGTGCTAGTTCTTTTCCAGTAGCAATGCCTGGGCCAGACTGCCAGCCCTGCTGGTAGGTAGCCCTTGATAGGACCTAAGCTACAGTGGTTTTGGTAGTCTCAGAAGCCCCAGGGGAGCTGGTGGGCACCATAGCAGAGAGCCCCGGACTGGGGAGTTGGAAGTTGTAGATTCTATCCCTAATTCTACTATTAATTTGATTCTGTGTATTTGTCACCTGCAGGGGCCACATAACCTCTACTACTTCACAGTCCCTTCTGCTTTATTAGTTGTGATTGGCAGCTTGGGTACATGAATAAGTTGTTATGGAGATTGTGCATCTATGAGCAGATTCTAGAGATTCTAGTGGTGGTGAATACTCAAGCTTTCTCGCCCTACCTGGTTTCCATGACTTATCAAGATCATGGACATGTTATGTGAGCAAACTAGCAGGACTTGTTGTTATTGAACAAGCCTGGATGATAATGTCTTAGAGCTTGAAAATTGGAATCTGAACTTATTTGTGATCTCTTAAAATTATTTCCATGTCTAAGTTCTTTGACTTTATGAATACCCATTTGAATTCAATTCAAGCCACACTTAATGGTGTGCATAATTTTCATTGTTCTATGTGACAGTAAAACATTAATAGAAAGAATCTGGCAAACTGAATTATGTTTATATAGCAGAACCACATTCTTTACTTTTTATAACCAACATAAATATTGATAGTCTTCTCAGATATCGTATAATCACATTATTCATCCCTTCTATTCTAAGACAAAAGTGCTGGTCCATTTCTTGTAGATTGGCTCTCTGCTCTTCAATTATCCACCCCAATGGTTCAGTTCTTTCCTCTTTTCACTATCCCTCTTATTCCCTCTAATTTCTCTGATACCAGATCACACTAAAGTTTAAACTGGAGACTTCAGAATGGATGCTGATTGCTGAGAATTGTGGGAAGTGCTGTATCCTCTGAATGTTAGGAAGTTAGGGAAAGGTCAGCATCAAGTGGAATAAGAGGCTAAGGCTAAAGAGGACACTTGTGACCATAATACACAGATTTTTGCAACCTTCTTCTGGGCATGAAAAATTCAAGCCATACCCAAAGGCTTTTGAATCAATAGAAATACAGTTCTCTAGGTTGTGTCGCTTGGGTCCTCTGAGCATCTCCTGGGCTGCCTCCTCCTCTCCACCTTTGTGGTTCGTGCACTCACCAGACCATACTCTCTTTTCAGAGGTCTGAGCCTCAGTTTGGCAGAGGACCCCTCTGAGCTCTGGCATCAGTCCTACAAGGTCCCTCCTTTGAGCACCTGTGTTCTTTTGTTCCCTCTTCTTTCCTTCCCACAGTTGTTACAATCTGGAATACCTCGGGAACTCCTTTTTACTCTGTAGCCTTCTAACACATGTGTAACCAGTTCTTCGTTTTCAATTTCCTATGTTTGAAATTCCTTGTGTGGGTTCTGCTTTCCAGACTGGCTCCTGATTGAAACAGAGACCTAAGGAATTTGGAGGCCAGATGATGGTGTCTTTTAGATGCTATTTTGTGGTGAGAATCCCAAGAAGGGGATATGTTGACTGATGCATAATGGAGAGGCTCTTCAACTGGGCAGAGGGGACTCAAGAGGTGACTGGCTGAGCCTGGCTTTGAGCAGAAGTGTGTCTGAATTTGTTACTGTGCTCTCTCCTAGGGTGACAGATAAACTGGAAGCCAAAAGTGATGGGATTGAGACCTCTGCAGGAAAGGACTAGGTTCCTCCAAGGCCAAAAACCAGATAGGGGTGGAAAGTATGAGAGGGTGAGCAAAGAGACTCTTTTCAGGATGGGAAAGAGGGGCTCACAGAGGGTTGCCTAGAAGATTCTGTCTTCTTCTTTACACTTTTTTCCCCCCAGCTAGACAGGTGAATATGAAGTTGTAGGTGCTTCTAGTCTGTCTCCTGAAATTCACTTCAGTCAATTTAACTTGTGCCTCAGAAAGTTTTTATGCTTGACTTCAGCGGATGGGATGGGGGTGTGTGTAAAAACTTGATCCACAGAAAAGTAACCGTTACCATTTATTGAGAACCTACAAATGTCCTGAACCACAAGAGCAGAGGGTGGCGGATAAGTTGGGACCTGGGGCTCCGTTTCTGGAGAAATCACTGCCTCCCTCTCTAGTCCTTAGGCAGTTCTGAAGTCCACTGTATTTTGGGGCCACCAGGGACCAGGCTTGCCTCAGTTAAGGGTGTGCTGCTCAGGGCCTGTGGCTCCCCCAGGGAATGGAGGTGCGTCTCTGAGGGACTGAAAGAGCAGAGGTAGGGAGCTTGCAGCCTAACTATCCTTTCAGGGGTGGCCTGAGATGGAGCAGTTGTGACCAGGATTGCCATATGGATCCTGCCTGAAGCACCCAGCTAATTTTGCAATCACAGGATTCGCTTAGTGGGACTGTAAAGGGCAACTTCCCAGCCCCAGGAGAAGGTCTCCCTCCACGAAGGGCCTGGCATTTCCAGTCCTAGCCCAGGAGTGACACAGCAGGAGAACTGAGCTCTGGGGAAATCCCTCAGTCTCCCCTTTCTGAGAAGCCCAGGGTCTGTCCTCTATTACTTGTAGGGCTTGACTGGGTGCTTACTGCTCAGGAAGCTCAGACAGGTCTGATAAATAAATGAAAAGCAATAATATATATTGGGGTATATATAGGTTGGAGGGAGCCATTTGGTTTAAAACGAATTTGGCCTGGCCTTGTTTTGCCGAAAGGGCCTGATGTGGTCTCTTGAGCATGTATTGTACAACTGTTTAAACATTCGCTATGTCCCAGAGGTAAGAATGACGCCCTTATGGGCTGGCCTGGTGGCATGGTGGCTAAGTTAGCACACTCTGCTTTGGTGGCCTGGGGTTTGCGGGTTTGGATCCCAGGTAGGGACGTACACCACTCCTCAGCCATGCCACTCCGTGGCAGTGACCAACATATACAGTGGAGGAAGATTGGCACAGATATTAGTTTAGGGCTAATCTTCCTCAAACAAAAAAAGAGGAAGATTGGCAACAGATGTTAGCTCAGGGCTAATCTTCTTCAGCAAAAACAAAGCAAAACAAAAACAAAAACAAAGAATGATGCCGTTAAAGATAGGGATGTAACTTCCCCCCATATCAGCATTTCTTTAAGGATAAGCATCTCTTCTTGGAGACTAAGGATTAATTACTGACCTGCTGTGCTCACCTTGTGACCACTGACCTGCTGACCACCGACCTACTGTGCCAGCTAAGCATCTCGAGACAGTAGTAAAAGGGACATTCCTATAATATGTGCTATATGCTCTTTGTTCCAAGATGGTATATAAACACTCAGTACACCCTACTTCTTTGATGCCCTTCTTTCCTTGGGGAAGGAAGTCCCTGGGCAATAGTCCTCAAACCTGGGTCATACTAAACTCACCCCAATTTTGATTTATAGATTGACCTTGGATTATTTGTGTCGATAGGTCATACTCATGCTGATGCTGTGATTTCTTCATCTGGGCCTCAGGGGATCTTCTGGCAGGAGGAACTGGCTTTCTTTCACGTCATACAATAGTCACACCCCACCAAGGAAGCTGCAGCCTCCCTATGCTCACCAGATAAATGACCCAGGTTCTGTCAGGGCCCGTCACTGCTCTTGGGAGCTGCTGGAGCTGTGATTCAGTCCCCTGTACTTTCGATAAAGGTCTTTCCTTGCCAGCCGATAGCAGGAAAGTCTTTTGACTCTGGAGCTTTCCCTCTTTTCTGTGCTTTAGGGCTCAGTGAAGGGATGGGGCCATGCCAGGCTGGCTCCGTATCTTGTCCTGTGCGGGGGTAGGTGCTTCTGATGGGGAGCTGCTAGGATCCTGAAGGAGCTGCCCTGGCACGAGTGCCTCCCCTGCTCCCAGGCAGAACCAGATGCCAATGAGAGGTGGGAGGGCTCCTGGGAGGAGGACGCACAGGCATAGAGGGCTGGGGGTATTTAAGGACAAAAGTCATGCCTGGCTTTGGAACTTCTAGGGAGAGACTATCATTGGCTGGATCTCTGGGTGGAGGAAATTCTGCCTGACCTCCCACCCCTGAGGCTGCCTTGAGGGTTTTTCTCAGGAAGTGGCTCAGATTTTCTGATTAGGGCTTTGTGTCAGGCCAGGCGTCCCAGCTCCCTGTCCAGAACAAGGACCTCAGGAACCAGTGTCCTGGGAAGGTTTTGGAAACATCTCCTGAGGCTCATATCTCTTATTGCTGTCCCCACAGGTGTTGAGACAACCCCACTATGTCAGACGTTCGAGGATCCCCTATCCCCGAAAGAACCCATGAAGCAGGTGATGTTGGGTGGGGGCCTGGAGGCCTGGGACATAGGCACTCATACCTGTCTTTTCTGAGCACCTCAGCATTCTTAGCCCCTCCCTGTATATGGCCCTTACCACCCAGTGCTGTCCATCTCCCGGTGGACCGTGGGCTTCCCAAGAGTGGGGACCAGTGCTTATTCACTGCTCTAGCTCCAGACCCAACATTGGGCCAAACACAGAATAGGCATCAAAAAGCATGGCTGGGTCTTGACACACATGTGCTATGGGACCGATGGTTTACCCTCTTAGACCAGTTACAGCCCTTTCCCTCCTCACCAGAGCCCACAGCTCTACTGGAAAAGAAGGCCAGGCTGATAGGTCACTGAGTGCTGCCAGTTTTCATGTGTAAACCCTGGACCTTCCTTCCTAAAGGGCCTGGATTAGATAATCTTTCTCCTCGCACCTAGAAAAGCAGCCTAATCATAACGTTTCTTCATTATTCTTTTCCATTTAAACCTCAGTGAATAAACCTCAGACTGGCAAGGTCTCTGACTTGAGTCAGCAGGTGTGGATCCTTCAGGGTCAGACCCTCGTGACAGTTCCACGGAGTGACAGAGTGGCTGCAGGTGAGTGGTCATCCAGCAGCTGCTGCTCCTAGGAGGCAGCCTCCTCCCCTTTGTGCAGCCAGCATGCTGGCGCCAGCCTTTTGTTGAAGTGTGACTTTACAGTAGGGCTTGCCTGGAGGGAGGAGAATTTCATACCTGCCTGGGAAGGCATGCCTTGTTGTTCTTACTTGTGGTCAAGTCAGCTCCCACTTCTGGTGACCCTAAGAATGAGTGCTGTCCACAATATCTTGTCCTCAACAGACCTCCTCAGCTTCTGTAGACTCGTGCCTATGGCTTCCTTTATGGAGTCAATCCACCTCATACTTGGTCTTCCTCTTTTCCTGCTGCTTTCTACTTTTCCCAGCATTGTTGTCTTGGGCCAGGATAAAGATAACAGAGAGGCTAGAGCAGCTTCCTGAGGAGCAGGAGAGCTCCATTTAGTGAGAGAAAGGCTTGTCCTATGGAAGAGGAGCAGCTTGTTCTGCCCGACTTCAAAGTGTCCTGAAAGTGTCCTGAAATGGGTGGATACCACAGGAAGGCAGATTTCAACATCACATTAGCAAAACTTGCTAATGGACAGAGATCTCCAAGGATCAGAGAGGCTGCTTGGGGTTGGAGCTTTCCACCTCCAGATGTGTAAGCAGAGATGTGAAAATCTCATGGGCAGGGTCTGCCGTCTGTTTAACTCTTTGTGTTTGGTCCATTTCCTAGGGCAGTGATTGGCACATGGTGTGAATGAATGAATGAATATAGTGGTTGGCCATTTGGAAGGTCTAGCGTAGCAGGGATTGCACTCTTAAGGTCTCTTCCATATGCACCTGGAAAATACTGGTTTTTTCCTGACTTCTAAAGGACACTGACACCATCTCCCCTCTTATCTTTATAGTCACGGTCACTGTTGTCCCATGTAAGTATCCAGAGTCTCTTGAACAAGGCAAAGGGATTCCCATTTATCTGGGGATCCAGGATCCAGAAATGTGTCTGTCTTGTGAGGACGTTGAAGGGCAACCCACACTGCAACTGAAGGTGAGTGACTAAGAAAAATTTATTTTAAAAAAAAGGCAATTTCTTTTACAAGTGGTAGAAAAATCTAATTCTACAATTAAACAAGAAATATTCTCCTGTTCCTAAGCATATTTTCCTAACTCCTTTTGAGTTACGTGCATGAAATAGACTTTTCTTTGATTTATCCTGCCCCTCACTAGTTGAGGACTCTTGTCTTTCTTGAATATTGAGATGTTCTGAGCCATGGATTCTTCAAGTATATTCTTTTTTTCATTCTGCCTTCTCTCTTCTTTTGGAATTCCTATCCGTCAGTCGTTAGAATTTCTAGATCTCACTTCAATATCTCCTCTAACTTTCCATACTTTCTATCCATTCATTGTTTTTCTTTACTTTACTTTTCTTTTCCTTTTTGGTGTTGCATTCTAGGAGAATTTCTTTGTTCAATCTTCCAGGTCATGATTACATTTTAAGTCTTGTCCCATCTGCAAAATCATCTTTCTACTGTGTTTTCTGAAATGTCAATCTTTACCATGTCAATTCTCAAGCTTTCTAGTTGGTTCTTTTTTTAAATTTTTATAACTACTTGTTATAAAAAAGACTTATTCCTTAGACTTCAGTTTCATAAACTTCAGTTTAATTCAATTCAGCTCAATTCAATTTAATTCAATTCAGCAAATGTGTGGATTCTTATTGGTCTCCAGCACTGTCATGGGCATTTGAAATACATCAGTGTACAGAATGGCCAAGAGCCCTGCCCTCATGGGGCCTGGATTCTAGTGGGAGGAGAAAAATGGTAAACAATAAGTATAATAACAGGTAATTTGGTGATATGTCACAGGGTGTTACGTCCCCTGGAAAAGAACAATTAGAGCAGGATAAAAAGACTGGAAGTGCCAGGGACAGGTGGAGTCAGGTTTTCCTGCTAAATAGTGCAAGAGGCATCATTGGGAAGGTAAGATTTTAGCAGAGAGTAGACGGAGGCAGTGGAGTTAGCCAGCAGGGTGTCCAGCAAGAACAAGTTCAGGACTAGTGAAGAAACCAGTGTGGCAGGAGTGAATTGAGGAAGGAGAAGTTCAGAGAGAGAAAGATAGATCATGAAGGGCCTTGACGGTCTTTGTAAGGATTTTAACTTTCAATCTGAGTGAAATGGGAAATTATTAGAATGTTTTGAATAGAAGAGTGACATGAATAGACATAGGTTTGAAAAGGATTATTTTGGCTGCATTGAGAATAGATTGTGGGGGACAAGAATGAAAGTCCTGTGGCAGGCTTTGGGGTGATCTAGGTGTGATTTGGTGGGCAAGGGGACAGCAAGGGAGATAGGGAGAAGCTGGTCAGATTCTGGAAATTTTAAAAATTGAGGCAACAGGATTTCCTGACAGAGTGAATGTGGAATGTGATCAAGACAAGGACTGACAAAAGAAAAAAGAAGACAGTGACTGAGAATTACATTTTCAGCTATGTCCTGTCTGCTAAGCTGCCCTTTGATTGTGATTTTGTCCTCAGACAGACTGAGAATTGACTGTCGCATTCAGCAATGTACAGGTCATTAGGGACCTTCATGAGAGCAGTGTTGGTGCAGTGGCAGAGGCCAAAGTTTGGGTGGAGTTGAGGTTAAGAGAGGAATTGGGGGAGATAAATTAGAGCCAGCAAATACAGACAACTGTTACAAGGAGTTTTCTGCAAAGGGGAATTGGGAGTGGTGGTGGGCAATCAAAATAGTTAATTTGAAGATGGTGAAATGACAGCGAATATGCTGATAGGAATGATTGAGCAGAGAAAGCAAGACTGATGGAGTATGAGAAAGCAGGGAGAATGGCTAGAGGAATACCCTTAAGTTGGTGAGTGCAGATGAAGCCTGTCACCCAGTCCTTCCCAGGCAGGAAGCTGAAAGTAAGGATGGAGAAGGAGGCATTAGAGTTTGAAAAGGGAAAGTGTCCTTTTATTTATTAAACAGTCAACATATTTCCACTGAGTTTCTACATGTTAAGGAATATAGTCTGTTCTTCTTAAGATGAACAAGTCTGGCAATAATTAAATGACTGGTGAATAAATGTGCTAAGTTCAGAGAGGGATTGGAACTAATGAAGAAAATAACCCAGTAATGAGATAGTGGTGGGTAGGAGGAGGGGGTTTGAGACCTCCTTTGGCTAGGAAATTCATGGAGTTTCTCCCCAATGAGGTGGCATTTGAGCTGGGAGCTGAGTAATGGGAAGGAGTTGGCCATGGGAAGATGGGGGGCAGAGCATCCGGGGGAGTGAGAGTAAGTGCCAGGGCCCTGGGGCAGGAATACCTCCATGTCTGAGGGGAAGGAAAAAGATGGGTGTGGCCAGAGCAGAGTGAGCATGCAGAGAAGTGATAGGAGGTAAGGGCAGTGAGGTGGGCAAGAGCTGAACGGCATAGACCCTGCAGGCTTTGTGAAAAAGTTTGGATTTTATTGTAATACAATTGAAAATCATATAAAACATTTAAGCCAGAAGATAACACAATCCTATTTATTCAGTGGTTTCAGTTGAAAGGTCATTCATCTGCTTTGTGGAGAACGGATGGTAAGGAAGGGAGCAGGTGATAGATTGGGGCTTTGGGAGTGTGTGAGGGGTATGAGAAGTGGCCTGTTCAGGAAATATTTTGGAAATAGAGTTCACAGGCCTTGCTGCTGGGATTGAAGAAAGCGGTATCAAAGTGACTCCTAGGTTTTTGGCCACCCAAAGAATTGGAGAGATTCACTGGAAGTCATTAGCGGAGTAAAGGAATCTTATGGAAGAACTCCCCCGTCAGGGGAGAATGGCCTGCATTACGGAGGATTCTTATGTCTCTCTGGAGATCTTACACATATGTAATTTTACTTAGAAATACTTATTTTAGCTAAATATACAATTTATGCATATACAAATATATACATATGCAAAATCTACTTCTTTATAAAAGAAGGCATTTTCTGATTGCTCTATTTGCCTTGTTCCTTTGCATGCAAATCCTTTGTTTTGTCAGACCTTCTTGTGTCTTTTTCCCGGCATTGACCTTTCTCACATGTGGGCAGTTGGTCAGAGACCCACACCCCCAGCCTGGCCATCCTTTGTCAGAGCAGTGGTTCTTGCAGGCTGGTGGCTCTCCCTGGTGCGGCTTTGGTGAGGGCGGTCCTTGGCTTACTGCTGCAAATTTGCATCTCCTTCCCTTTTCTAGAGGGCCCTCCCAGCCTCTTTTGTAAGGAGAATTCCAATTTATTGTTCCAGTGTGGCCACTTGTTCATTAACCTGTCCCTTGCGTCTGTCTGACGCCATCTCTGGATTAGAGGCTGGGACCTGGGCAGGTGAGCTTTCCTGCATGCTTACTCTGCTGCTCCTTTGAAACGTGTGCATCCAGGCCCGCTCTAAAAGAGGGATAAGGCCCTCTCGATCTTTGGAACACTTAGTAGTTGTGTACAGGTAACCTTGAACTACTCAAACAGCCTCAGCTTCTCCTCCTGGGCATTCTCTGTCACGTTTCAGGAGCAGAAGATATTGGAGCTGTACAACCAAGCTGAGCCCGTGAAGCCCTTCCTCTTCTACCACGTCAAGACTGGCAGGACCTCCACCTTCGAGTCCGTGGCCTTCCCTGGCTGGTTCATCGCCTCCTCCGAGAGAGGCCAGCCGATCTTCCTCACTTCTGACCAGGGGGCAGTGCACAATACTGCCTTCAACATCGATTTCAGTGCTTGAACTCAGCCTGGAGGTGGCAGCTTAGTCAGAGGTTTTGTCTTAAATTTTCTAGTTCCTAGTGTGTTTTCATCTATATTATTGCAGTGTCATTTCACATCAGTGCTGAGAGGTGAGCTGGGCCCTGTTCTCATCTCATTTGTGAATGGAGCAGAAGCGGTGACTTCATGACAACCGAGGAATAGAATATGGGCTCAGAGCAGGAGGGAGGGGTGGTGTAAGGCTCTTCTCCCAAGCTGAAGCTGTCCTGCCCACAAGCCATTTGCATGAGCACATCAGGACCCAAAGATGGTAGAGCCTTCTCCTGAGGGTGGACATGAAAAAGCCCAGAGCTCATGAATCTTACCCAAGATCGCGTGGCTACCGTGCAAATGATCTTTGTTTTTCTTTTGCTTTGTTTTCTTTCCTACTTGGATTACATTTTCTGTATTCTCTATAGTTTGCCAGTACACCTCCAAGTGTGTGATACATCCTGTTAAGGGTTAGGCCCTTTTAAAGAAAAATAATGTTTAACAGTAATAAAATATTTTTGTCCTAATTCTAACGTGTAAACAGAAAGCCAAATATAAACTTCATATGTTCATACCATAAAAAGACTAAAACAGATATAGAATGAAACAGAAAACAAAGAGTAACCTGAAATTAGCAAAAGAGGAATTGAATGAGGACGTCACAGTGGGTGAGCCCAGGACTGGGGGAGAAGGGACAGTGATCCATGGTGACTGGGTGCGTGGGAGGTTAAGCATGTGAAAGCACCACTAGCTGTATACTTTCTCTACAGTCTCACAGCTTTGCTTTCTCCCTGCTTCCTCCAGTCTTTTCCTTTCAGGCAAACTCAGCATCCACATATGCCCTTTAAAAACTGTAGTAAAGGTACTTTTTGTGGAACAGATAGCCTGGGTCACTCCCCAGCCATGCTTCTGGTGATGTATTCTGATGAAATTTAATAACTGATTGTGGGTATAACTGGAGAAAGACGTAGCTCAGATCTGGTCCTGTATATGATAGATTTCTTCTTTTGACCCTGATACTACAAACGCAGAATATTCTGTTTGCTTAAGTACTGTCTCCAAAATAGCACCAGTAACTTAAGGGTTTTTTTTTTCTGCTTTTGGACAATCAGACCACATACTCTGCTAGGCATGCCAGTGAGCAATCAGTAAGCACTGATTTATTACAATGTCTCTTGATTCTTTAAAGTGTTCTTCTTCAACTAAATATAATTTTAGCACTGCAGTTTTATAAAAATCAACATTAAAATGGCACTATGCTAATTAGTTTTAGAATATCAAATAGAATAATTAGTCACTGGATATTTACTGCTGTACTCACTGCTAATAAATGGTGGCAGCTTGTTACATCTGCCAATTTACATTGTTACATTGTCAGTTGTTACATCTGACAACTGGGATCTTATGACACATTTGCTTGTGACATGATTATAGTTCTGAGTGCTACAGCATTGCCATCCTACCACAGGCTGTGCGATGATTCAGTTTCCCCATCTCCTTTCTCTACTGTGAAAACTTTATTCGTGCTGGCTCTGTGACTCCTTGGATTGACACTTGGCACAGAAGAGCTCAAACAAAACCTCAAATATGAGTCCTGGTGTCATGTAGCTGGATTCAAAGGTAAAGTGGTCATCCTGTTGATCCAAAAGAGGTTTTGATAACTATTTAGAGTGTAATTAAAATGAAAACACAATAATCTCATAGCTTCTGGAGCCTGGAGAACAGACTTCCATGGACACCTGCCTTACGCATCACATTTGAGATCTGCCACAGCATATGAAATCACAGAAGGCCCCTGTGAGTAGCAACACCCTCATTTTCAGGCAATTGCCTGGTGCACACCTATTTTCACATATTTGCTGTATCAAATGCTCTTGAGTTTGAGTACCAGGAGCTCCGGGCCAACATTCACTGAAGGATTTTGTTCCTTTGGCTCTTTAGCACATAGGTACTGTCAAGGGCCTGATGCACTGGGCGAGGGGCTTTTGGATTCCAGGGAAGGAATCGAGAAACTTGCTACCAAAATCACAATTGCAGAGAAAACAGTTGAGTGGGGTGTTTCTCTGTCAAGCTGCTTTGGGGCTGATATCTTCTGGCACCAGGATCCCCGAAGGGCAAAGGCTGCTTCCTGAAGCTGGACCTGAAGACACTGTCTCTTAACTCATGAACAACTGGGCATGAGGACTGAAGATGCTGCCTCCAGGACCTTGAGAACAATGTTTGTACTTAATAATTCTTCATGTCAATAAAACATTAATTTTTATTTCTTAGACTTTAAAAAGTTGTTTAAAAGAATATTCTTACCAAAGTAATACATGTCTGGGGTAAAAGCAATATTCTCCTGTCCCAGTACTATTTCCGTGAAGCACCTGCTAACTCTTTTCAGTTCTTTTCCCATTTTTCCTTCGTGTGTCTGGGTATATCCTTTGTTAAAAACAAAATTTCAACCGAGTAAATTTGAAGATCTAATTGGCTTCACTCACTGGTTCGTGAATGGGGCAGCATCCATGTAGCAAGCAGAGAGATACTCTGAGAACTGTACAGATGGAAGGTTTTATAGGCAGAAGGAGGGTGCGGTAAGGAAGTTGTTAGTGAAAGAGAAGAAAGCATAGTTTCAGGCCAGGGCATCTTCTCTTAGGGGAAAGGGAAAGGCAGGGGTTTTATCATGTAATTATCTCACCAGTGCTAATCAGGAAATTTCAGAGTGACTGTTAACAAGGTCACATTCCTGCCATAGGTTGAAACCATAATGAAATCTTGATTTGCTGTCATGGCGCGAAATGACTCCATTTTGGGCCTGTTATTTCTTTTTTAACAGTTTGTACTTCTATTTCTTGAAGTACCAACTTTAGACATTATCTTTTCTACCAGACTGATGTCATTTGCATCTCTACTGGACAAAAATCATATGCTTTTTATGTTTTCTACAAGTTAATAGTAAGTGGTAAGTCACATAAAGTTGTTTTTATAGTGAGTAAGATGAAACTTGGGTGGCCCTGCTAGACAATGCTCTAGTATGACATTGAAAAGGCATACAATGATCTTTTTGCATTTTTTTTTAGATTTGGATAATTTTCTTAATGACATCATCTCCTTTAGCCTTTTCATTTTGTGAGTGAGAAAAGGGAGGTACACGGAGTGGACACAACTTGATGAGAGTGGCACTGACATTTAGTAATAGAACTGGAAATAATGATACTCTTGATTTTGGTCTTTCAATTTCTGTCTCCTGGACCTGGAATGTTATGAGACACTGTGTGAGAAATCAGCAGCAATTACGCAGAGCAAGACAGCAGAGCAAAGTGTGAGCCACCCCCTCCCGTCATTAGCGCTGTCCTTATCTAGCAGGGTGTCAGCAGATGACCCACCCAGGGCGGATCACCCTTGGCCATCTAAACATATGTGTGTTATGTAATGATATAAATGCTGAAATGTATTGTGTACCTGTATTTCTCAAACTTGAAACAACATCAAAATCACCTGGGGTGGGCACTAAAAACCCAGGTATTTAGACTCCAAACCTAGTAAATTAAAACCCATTCCCCTCGAAATTCCAAGTTACTAGGTTTAGAGCAGGACCTCAGAATCAATATTTTACTAAGGACCCTAAGGAATGCTGATTAACCAAGCCTGGGAAATACTCCTCTGGTCCATCCCAGTGGAGTTTCACATGTAAAAAGATTCAGATTAGTCATGCTTGGGATGATTTATGTGCTTCTACAGAAATAAAGAGATATATAGAGATTTATACTTGTTGATTTTGTTGACATTTACTTCTGTAAGGTTGTTCTCACTTGAGTGATTCAAAAGTGAATTGAACAGGGGCCAGCCTGGTGCAGAGATTCCGTTTGCACGTTCTGCTTTGGTGTCCTGGGGTTTGCTGTTTCGGATCCTGGGTGCACACCTGTGCATCACTTGTCAAGCCATGATGTGGCCGGCATCCCACATATAAAGTAGAAGAAGATGGGCACAGATGTTAGCTCAGGGCCGGTCTTCCTCAGTAAAAAGAGGAGGATTGGTGGCAGATGTTAGCTCAGGGCTAACCTTCCTCAAAAAGAAAAAAAAAGTGAATTGAACAAAATGACTTGTATAAAAATATCCAAACTCTCAAATAAAATTTCATAATGTTCCATAGCTGGAAAGAACCCAAATTTCCATTGGCCAGTGAATGGATAAACAAGATGTGTTATATTCATACAAAGGAATACTACTCAGCAATAAAAAGAAACGAACTACCAATAGACATTCAACTGGATTAATGCCGAAAACATTGAGGATGCCAGACACAAAAGGGTTCGTATTGTGTGATTTTGTTTACAAGCAGTTCAAGAATAGGTAAAACTAATCTATGATGATAGAAATCAGAAAAGCAGTTACTTTGGTGGGGGTAATGAGAGATAGAAGATTCTAAAAGCTGCCGTAGAGCTAAAACATCACACCCATAGAATCAAAAACCACCACAATGGCTTTGCTTTTCTCTGCAGCAACATAGTAAGCCAGAAGTCAATGGAAGGATGCTTTCTACATTCTGAAGGAAAATGATTTCCATCATAGAATTCCATACCCAGTCAATCTATCAATTAAGTACAAGAGTAGAATAGACCTATTTTCTTTTTTTTTCTTGCAGTAACATTGGTTTAATAGCATTATATATATTTCAGGTGTACATCATTATATTTTGATTTCTGTGTAGATTACTTCATGTGCACCACCCGAAGACTAATTACAATCCATCACCACACACGTGTGCTTAATCACTCCTTTTGCCCTCCTCCCTTCCCCCCTTCCCATCTGGTAACCGCCAATCTAATCTCTGTTTCTATGTGTTTATTTGTGGTGGTTTTATCTTCTTCTTTTGAGTGAGATCATACAGTATTTGACTTTTTCCCTCTGACTTCTTTCACTTAGCATAATACCCTCAAGGTCTATCCATGTTGTCACAGATGGCTGGATTTCATCATTTTTATGGCTGAGTAGTATTCCATTGCGTATATATACCACATCTTCTTTATACATTCGTCCCTTGATGGGCAACTAGGTTGCTTCCGAGTCTTGGCTATTGTGAATAATCCTGCAATGAACAAAGGGGTGCATGTATCTTTATGTATTCATGTTTTCATGTTCTTTGGATAAATACCCAGCAGTGGAATAGCTGGATCATATGGTAGTTCTATTCTTAATTTCTTGAGGAATCTCCATACTGTTTTCCATAGTGGCTGCACCAGTTTGCACTCCCACCAGCAGTGTATGAGAGTTCCCTTTTCTCCACCTCCTCTCCAACATTTATTGTTTCCTGTCTTGTTAATTATAGCCATTCTGATGAGAGTGAACTGATATCTCATTGTAGTTTTTTGTTGTTGTTTTTGTTTTTTAAAGATTTTATTTTTTCCTTTTTCTCCCCAAAGCCCCCCGGTACATAGTTGTATATTCTTCGTTGTGGGTCCTTCTAGTTGTGGTATGTGGGATGCTGCCTCAGCGTGGTTTGATGAGCAGTGCCATGTCCGCGCCCAGGATTCGAACCAATGAAACACTGGGCCGCCTGCAGCGGAGCGCGCAAACTCAACCACTCGGCCATGGGGCCAGCCCCCTCTCATTGTAGTTTTGATTTGCATTTCTCTGATAGTTAATGATGTTGAACATCTTTTCATGTGCCTGGTGGCCATCTGTATATCCTCTTTGGAGAAATGTCTGTTCAGATCTTTGGCTCATTTTTTAATTGGCTTGTTAGATTTTTCATGGTTGAGATGTATTAGTTCTTTGTATATTTTGGATATTAACCCCTTATCAGATGTATGGTTTGCAAATATCTTCTTCCAATTTTTATGTGTCTTTTCATTTAGTTGATGGTTTCCTTTGCTGTGCAGAAGCTTTTTAGTTTGATGTAGTCCCATTTGTTTATTCTTTCTACTGTTTCCCTTGCCCCATCAGAGATGGTGCTTGAAAATATGCTAAGACTAATGTCAAAAAACATACTGCCTATGTTTTCTTCTAGAAGTTTAATGGCTTCAGATCTTACATTCAAGTATTTAAATGATTTGGAGTTAATTTTTGTGTGTGGTGTAAGATAATGGTCTACTTTCGTTCTTTTGCATGTGGCTGTCCAGTTTTCCCAACACCATTTATTGAAGAGACTTTCCTTTTCTGATTGTATGTTCTTGGCTCCTTTGTTGAAAATTAGGTGTCCATAGATGTGTGGGTTTATTTCTGGGCTCTTGATTCTGTCCCATTGATCTCTGTGTCTGTTTTTGTGCCAGTACCATGCTGTTTTGGTTGCTATAGCTTTGTAGTACGTTTTGAAATCTGGGAGTGTGATACCTCCAGCTTTATTCTTTTTTCTCTGGATTCTTTTGGCTGTTTGGGG